CTGTTTTTATGCTACAATTATTATTCAAAACTGATTTATTGCGATTCGCGATCGTTTTTGAACAGATGCTGGAATATTAGACAGGCAAAAATCTCGCATTCGCGATAGAACTTTTCCAAGTAAATTTTTTTAATAATCACGTTTGTTGTGTGCCTCTTGACATGCATCAAAAGCGCTCAGTAACCCAGACACTATTTGAACAATTTCTTTCAAACCAAATGAAAAAAAAATTACGCTCTGATTATTTTTTTCTGGCAGTTTGATTATTCTGGACAAGAAAGGTAGCCAGAACCGTTTTTTTAAAGTTGACTGCTTTCTGGCCATAATCCAATTAATGTCTGTAAAACCCTAAAAATGGTCATTCTCAATGATTAAAAACTCGGTTAAAAATTATTATTCTTGACGTTGCCAAGTATCTCAATCAAAGCTAAATTCCTCTCCTACCTGTATAAGACACCGGAGAGCAATTTTAAGGTCACTTCATTTTGGAGAAATATCTAGCCTTGTCTGTAAGGCCAAAATAGGCGAACTTTTGATTTTCACAGACTGGTCATATGAACATACAAGAATGGACATTTTGTGGCGCACGAGATGCCAAGCTATATGTTGAAAAAAATGACATCACTCTTTTGCACATTTTACTACGCCGCTGTTTGCCACAAACCCATGCACCTGGACACCGCCGGAGACGCACTTGCACCTACACTTGTCTTTAATGCGAGGATGCATCGATGAAATATTTCCACATCTCATTTTGAGTTCGGTTGGCGCGCCAAAGCTAAAAAAGAAAAGTACGGATTACGTGACAGTACGCGTGTACACGAGCATGCGGGGCTACATGATGGAGCACTTCTCTTTTTTTGCAACGATTTGTGGCTTGGTAGCAGGAAGACATCAGAGGATGAAATCTGGCAACGATACGTCCACGAGTATACATGAGGATGGGAGCAACATCTCCATGATTACACCCAAAAATCTAAATAACAAGCAGGACTATTTATTGTCTTTTAACGTACAGTAACGTTGGGACTTCCTTTTACATGGCGTATAGATCTTGAAAAAATAAGTGGATTTTCCTAGTAGCATATACACCAAATCTTTAAGATAAACGATATACTAGGCACTGCAAAATCAATTAAACCTAATCTGCTCCTGCATCTTGATCAGACTCAACTCAGGCGCCGGCAGCACAGGTTAACAAAACATTTATTTGCCAATCGGCTCGAAAAAATCAAAATGGCGCACGCGTACAGCATTAGCGAACTTGTGATATGATTTTAATTTATTGTGAGTATTCTCAAAATGCTACCGAGATTTCGCGACCGTCTCCAGATCGCTTTCCCAGACGTTATCATTCAGGATCACGTAGATTTGTTTACCTTGTGCAACGAGCTAGGGATAGAGGTATGCAGGTATGTCGAGGTGGACACAGTGGTAGATCTAGACAACTCCGAATGCCTCAAACTAAGGAAGGAGTACTGAATTTTGTAGAGGAAAATCCTTCAACAACCACTAGGGAAGTGTGAGTGGTTGTTACACGAACATGAAAATAATCGAGAGTCGAAGTTGAAGAACATCACGGACTAATCAACCTTCACGCATTACGGGGTGAATAACTTCCATATAACTCATGTGTGGTCATTGGAAAATCCTCACATAGTCTGTCATATTTTCAACAATCATTCTCTTTGAATGACTGGGCTGCCATGGTAAACGGTATGCTCCTTGGACACTTTACTCTCCCGAATCGGCTGGATGGTTTACAATACCTAGACTTTCTATGAAACATTTTATCAACAATGGGAACTTAGACTAGTGACATAGCCGTACTTGGAATTTCCTCTGTAAATGAGTACATACGTCATAATACTATGATATAAGAGGAGTTGCTCAAGAATGGATAGATGCTTTCTTTGAGAATCGTAAGCAATGTGTTTGTATCAATTCTGACACTGACGGCAAGCGTCTTAATATCAACTCCAAGCTCATGAAAGTTCAGAAGGGTGTACCACAGCCTACCGTATTAGGACCAGATCCTTCCCTCTCATTTGTCAATCAGGACGCCGATGTTTGGCCCACTATTAAATATACAGCTTATACTGTTGCCATATATTTCATCCAAAGATCATGCTCTTCTCCAAGAAAGGTCTTTGCTCAAGCTAAATAACTTTTTGATCTCATTTGACCTTTTTCTGGATATCGAGAAAATAGGGGTGCGGAGATTTTACAATTACCAGCGCAATTTGGATAAATCTTATCCACCCGAGCAACCAGAAAACTCGGCAACCACGCATTTTCTGGAAAAAATATTATGAAAGGGCTTCAGGGTATCAAGAAATAAGCAATTTGAAGGTGAAATTTGCAATGTCAAATGGCAGCCACCATTTTTGAGAGCAGATTCGTGTCGAGCTCGAGATTCTAGATAAGAATTCACTTCCATGCATGAGGTCAACCTGTAAAATTTTAAAAGTATACGCACACCCCAAAAACGTTTGACAGAAAAGTATCAAGCAAGCAATTTGCCGATGACCTCAGATACGACTTAGACAGTGACCTTCGACGAAATTTAGAGGTCGACGTTGTAAATTCAAATAGCAACCTCCATTTTTGATAGCAGATTCGGGTCGAGGTCGAGATTCGACTCATACGCAGAACTTTGTTCGCCTTTAACTGCATCAGCACAAAAAATCGCTGGGACCTCGGTCTTTAGATATAGTAGCTTGGCTTAGCGCTTATGATATGTTTGACTTGTGTGGTTCAGCAGCATTGCCAGATGGTCGATACTTAGGGCAGGAAAGAAACTAGCGTTAGCCTTATCAACTGATTGGGCTGTCCCCAATGCAGTGTTGCAGTATGAACTAATGTATTATGGGCCCGTTCGTCTGACTTGCCACATTTAATTTTTTAGTTATACCTACACATTTGTAGCAAGCTCAACGGGACTAACTTGGGCCAAACGTAATCCTTTATAAAGTGATGAAAGCGTTGCTTAGGCAGGGAAGAGTCAACCAAGTTGACGTCATTTTTCGATTCGTCACATATTGCTGTTCTTCTAATCATTTTCAATTTCCATTGATCTGATCTATTAAGCCCCCATTTTGAGAAATATTGAAATAATATCTTCCGAACTTGTTCGACTTCAGTTTAAAAATGTTACTTACACCTATGATGGAGCTAACAGCGGCATCCACCACAAGCAATGCACGTCATGATTAGAATCAGTCTTCGGCATATATCATCTGAGCTATTATTATTGCTATTTGTTACTAATGATTGTGTATGTTGGAATCAGTCGTGGATCATTACTCATTAATATGGTCCGATCCGATCTCTGTTAGCCATGGCGGCAGCCGGCGAGTCATGAGAAAGAGATCGAGACTCCGGGATGATGACCATGACGGCAATCTTCGGATCTTTTAGCGAGACCCACCGATTTTCATTTAATTAACTAATTGCATTATGTCAGTCAGCATATCTAGGATGATTTAGTAGGAATCGATTGTTCAAAGAGGGATACCGCCACTTATGATTCATACAGGTCCATAAGGTACCATAGGAGCTTTAGGACCATGCCTTCCACTCAAGACTAAAGGTACTGAAAAAATCATCACGCTTTAAGGCACATCAGTCTGGAGTCTAATTTCTTTTCATTTTTATACGCTAATAATTCCTGGAACTTGTAATACGTATATATCTCTGCTAAAACCTAGATAAAGAAGGTTACAGAGGCAGTTACCCAGTGTGCGACTAGTTTATCGTTGTCCTGTAGAAAACAAAAAAAAACGCTTTTTACAGTTGACCAACTAAGATCATAACTTGTCAGTTCCTAATAGTAAGAAACTCTATGTTTTAGCTAACCCTGAAACATTCAATTAATTTTTATAGCGTACAGCTTTGATGACGACAGCACTCTACATGCAGGAATTCAGAGTGACATGCCTATCTCTGCTGGTGAGCTGAATAAAAGAAGTCTAGCAGCGAATTCCTCTCTGACGAGAGACCTAAGTTATCACTGTTTGAGTACGCAACAATCTGGTGGCGCCCTAGCGCATTCAGTTCCGATGAATGGCCGAGTTCTACCAAAGAGTCATTAATTTCGGCTGGTCGAACTATAGATCACCGAAGATTTGACGTGGCACGAACACATGTCGTCAATAGCGGCAGCTGCTGAGCAAAGCTGGGATTTAGGCTTTTTCGGGCTAAAAAGACCAACCCTCGAGTACTGGTCATATGTCTAGGGTGCTGTCACCCCGATTACGTTACCCATGATCTATGTCGAGCAGAGGAGGGCTGTCGAACTGATCGATGACTTTTCCCAGCGGAAAGCCTTGGAACTGTGTCGCACCAAAGTCGTCGGCGATCTAGCTTTCTTCTACTGAGCTCTCCTCCATAAAGTCACGACGCGATGTACCTGGCAGACAGACTCACCTGGCTTCAGCCTTCCATCCTGACCGTGACGAACTTCGTGCATCTAGAACTGGCCGGTAGGCTATAGGGTATGCAGATTGTGGAACAATATGCCTAGGGAGGCTTTTTTTACTAACCTTAGGCAGTTTCTTTATGCTCCTCCGTACATACACAACTGGCCGATACGAGAATGGTCACAGAAATACTTTAGTGTTACTTTATACATATAGTTGTTATAATAGTAAACAATACATTCTATAGAGAATGGATGTATCAGAAACCAATTCTAGATTAAACTCGTGAAAATTGAGCCAAACACGCATTAGTCAGGGTCCGTGTTGAACCACTCCAAGGCATTTTCACAGATTCAATTGTAGCTGAACTTAGGCAGCAAAACATTGTGATACAAATTGTCGAAAGTTTGCAGTAATCCAGCAAAACTAATGCAGCTACCTGTGATGTATCCATCGCGGTCAAGGCGTCATCTACAATGTCTGTCAATACTGATGCAGTACTATACGCGGGATGTCTTTTAAGTTTTGTACATGGAAATAAAACAACACGGTAGGTAGTTTTAAATGACTTTATTGTTTTCAGAAGTATTCTCCACGAAGATTAATACACATCTGCAAGCGCTCGAACCAATTTTCGAAGCACTTATTCCACTCGTTTGCTGGAAGATCCAAAACGGCATTTTTGAATGCGACACCTGTTTCTTCTGGTGACTGGAACCTTTGACCACGCAGTCTGTTTTTAATTTTCGGGAAAGTAAAGAAATCGTTAGGACTTAGATCGGGACTATATGGAGGATGGTCCAATAATTCCACGTTTTCTTCCGTTAAATACTGCCTTGTTTTTTGGGCTGTGAGCGAGCTTGCATTGTCTTGGTGGAGGATGATTCTTCTTTCGGGGTTGATTTTTGTTGCGATAATTGTCTCTGAAAGTTGTAATCAATTATGGCGCGAAAATGTTCTCGGTTGAGTTCCGTTTTTCTAATGACTTGGTGACTCTTAAAAATTCACTGTAGTGAGAACACTGCACGTATTGTTGTGAAACTTTGAATTTAAGTTTACTAAAGAGTGAGGTTAAGATTCAGTACTGACGTTCGATCCGCGCGGCCTACTATGTTTCTATATGCAAAACTTAAAAGACATCCCTCGTATCTACCACGGAATCCAGATTGCTTTTGTAAATAGTGTTTCAGTTGGAAATGCGGGTCCCTTTCTAAAACTTTAGCTAGGTAGGAAATTATACTAATAGGTCTCAAGTCTCCAACCTTACATAATATACTATCTTTTTAGAATTCCAACTCTCATTTAAACCTATTTACGTCACCGAATAATTATAATCTACAATCCACCATGTAAAATTATCCAAGTGGTCACTATGGCATTGTTAAACCCTATACAGCTCTGCACTCAATGTGTCATGAGAAAGAATATGAACCAAACCAAAGAAGGTACTGTTCCTTCCCCCATCATTACAGCGTTTCATCAGAATTTGTCGTTGCATTCGAGAATTGGCATATCGTGAGTTTATGTGATGCGCCGTTTGCAATCAAATCTAATTGGCATATAGTCGTTGAAACTGCACCGATGCAGTACAGATGACGTAATGAAGTAATCGCAGCAGCATTATGAGCTAAGTTCACAGGGCTCACGGCATTTGTGTAATTGAAGTCTTGCCAACCATAATTGTGGCATAACTGTTAAGCATAGATTGATAGACGTATTAACCACTTGTCTTAAAACTATGATTTAAGGACAGAAATAGGTAAAGGAACGATAAAAATTATTTTCTTGTAACTAAGTGACATATAAATCCGAACACCCAGTTTAAATGGTTTTATTTTAATAAAAGTTGGTGAATGTATTTATCTTACTGTAAATAACAAGTGAAAAAATTTTCAGCCTTATCAGTTGGACATTCCGGTTTTTATACTGCTTTTTTTTAATTCAGTCACGCTCTAAAAATGAATATTTCAGCCGCAGTAAAGAATCAACGTTGGCAGATTTTGGTTCTTGACATCCTTTACGATCGGTTACGATGCCTAGAGTATGGAGACCTGTACGATTTCGTGAACTTAGTGAGTTTGATAGGGGCCGTATAGTGGGACTTCGGGAAGCTGGACTTTCTTTTCGGGCAATTGCAGTTAGAGTGCAAAGAAGTGTAGACACTGTGGTTAGGTGTTGTCAGGCATGGCTTCGAGAAGGCCGTACGGAAAGAGCAAGGAGCACTGGTCGCCGCCGTAGAACAACAGACCGTGAAGATCGCCGCCTAAGATTATTGGCCTTAAGGGACCGTTTCTCCACTACCAGGTCCATTGCAAATGAATGGTTTGCAGAACACGGAAGACCTATTGGTATGCGAAGTGTTTACCGACGAATGTGAAGTTTTGGCTTGTTTTCATACCGGCCACACTGGGTCCTCCCTTTAACTCGAGAACACCGACGTAATCGCCTTGAGTGGTGCAGACAACGGTCACTCTGGGATCAGGAATGGAACAGTATTGTCTTTAGTGACGAGTCTCGATTTTGTTTAGGCATGCACGATGGTCGTGCCAGGGTTAGAAGGCGACGTGGTGAAAGGAGGAATCCACATTTTTTTGTTGAAAGACATGTTCATCACACTGTTGGAGTTATGGTTTGGGGTGCTATAGCTTATGGTTCCAGGTCATCTTTAATCTTCATCAGAGGTAACTTGAACGCGCAGCGTTATATCCACGAAGTTCTAGAACCCCATCTTTTACCCTATCTTGACACCCTGGCAGATCCAACTTTCCAGCAAGATAATGCCCGGCCACATGTTGCAAGAGTCACAATAGACTTCTTTCAACATAATGATGTCACATTGTTACCATGGCCACCAAGATCTCCCGACTTATCCCCAATTGAGCACGTGTGGGATATGATGGGTAGGAGATTGCTCAATTTGTAACGTCCTCCTCAGACTCTAGAAGCACTTCGAGAGGAGTTGGTGGTTGCCTGGAATGAGATACCACAGGAGGACATTGACCAGAAGCATGGCTAGGAGCGTTGGAGAATGCGTAGCACATCAGGGTGCATCCACACATTATTAAAGGTCAAAGGGCTTTAAAGCAGTGCAATCGTTTTGAAATTTTCATCATTTACTTATTATGCTTCATTAAGTACTTATACAAAATTTTATTAAAATAAAACCATTTAAACTGGGTGTTCGGATTTATATGTCACTTAGTATACTTGGTATTTGGGGTCTAAAGAAACACAGTTACCTGTTATAAAGTAACATTTATTTCCTTCTTTAAACTCTAAAAAAAAATGTTAGAAACGTAAACTTCACATATACATTTATTAATGTAAATAATGAAATCAAAGTAAAAGATACTTATTTTGGTTAACACATTATTTAGAATTAAATTACATTAACAAGATAGCAATTCCCAACAATAGTCACAAAAATAAAAATCACACAAAGATAAACTGATTAGATGAATATCTGAAGAAACGTATAGAAAGTTATTTCCGTGTTCAATTATCAGAATAAACGAAACTATAGCGAACTCACCCTTTTACCTCGAAACTGTGGTGGTCAAAAAATAATCCAACGTTATGCAAATCGTGGAAATCATTTTAACACAACAATGTTATATAGAATTCATATAGAATTCCGTGCAAAGGCTGTAATAATTAAAAGTATATACAGGGTCAAATTCGACGCTCATTATTGGGATCTCGGAAACCGTATAGGGACAACAGAAAGGTATTTAAAAATCAGAATATCAGAGCAAAAAAAAGGAGATTGTGAGTATTTCCACCTGAAACAGGGACACACACAACTCTATTCCAACACACGTTTCCTCAGAATGTCATGTGTTTAATTTTGATTGTTGCGAGGTACTGTGCAGAAATGTTAATTTAAAAAAATTGTCTTCTAGGAAATGTAGAAATCAAAAATCACAATAATGCAGTAAACAAAAGAACATACATAGCAGATTAAAGTATTATGTACACAAAAATCATTAATTTCATGAAGACAAAATAACCACCACCATATAATATTTATCCAGAAAACAGCAAAAAGTCAAATATAACAAAAAATAGCTGAGATTCTTACTGTTTGGAAATACCTTTATTTAAAAGGGTCATAATTGCCTATACTAGAAATTGAAGTTAAGCCGATTGATTCGGTAATTTTCATGCATTGATATGTACCTATTCAGAACTTCAGATTCGCGACAAATCTAAGCGTCTTTAGTGATAATACAGGGTTATCCAAATTAAGTGTCCACCATTAGTAACTTTGTTATTAGTGAAAATACAAAGTTGTTTGAATTAGCAAACTAGTAGCATTTTTAACGCTGGTAAAAATGAGAAATAAAAAAAAACAATTGAGAGTCGTTATTTTGATTTTTTTCAGTAAAATAACATTTTTTTAAATGGAAACCCCTGTATATTATATTTTTTTCTGTTAAAGCATCAAATTTTAAACAAAAAAGCTTACAATAACTTTTCTCCTAGGTTACAAATTGTTGAAGTTATGGCCTCCAATCTGAAACAATTAAATTGTATCGACAAACTTTATTTTCAACATCAACTTATAATCTTACAAAATACAATAACAATTTTTTTTAAAGATGATGCTCGAAAACACCACCTTGTTCTTCAATACATTTTTGGGCACGTTTTTCAACTGCTCGAACTGTCTTAAGTATGGTCCTACCATCTATCTGGGTTATCTTTTCCCTAACTGCAGTCTTTAACGCGTCAAGGTTATCGTACCTTCGCTTGTAAATTTGGTTCTTTAAGTAACCCCACAAGAAGTAATCAAGTGGGTTTAGATCTGGTGATCTGGGAGGCCACTGTATTGGGCTATTTGTTCCTATCCACTGATCATTAAAAGTAGTACTTAGAAAATGATAAGTACCTCTGGAGTTCTGGGCAGGTGCGCCATCTTGCTGAAAATCCAGATGATGTCTACTTATAAGATCCAATTCGTCTAAGAAATTAGTCAGAATTTCTGACATAAATTCCACATATCTTTCACCAGTTAGGGTTCCCTCATAAAAGAACGGGCCAACAATTTTTGAACCAATTATACCGCACCAAACGTTGAAACTGAAACGGACTTGTGGGCCTCTTGGATGTACTAACAAAAGATTTTCTCTTGACCAATAATGGTGGTTTTTTCTATTAAACATTCCAGAATTTGAAAAATTTGATTCATCTGTCCATAAAAGGTAACGAAAGTTATTTACATTTTGGCGACAGAAGCTAAGATACCAATGGCAAAAAACAAGTCTTCTCTCTGGATCCCCTGCCAAAAGCGTTTGAACTGGTCGGTACTTATACGGAATAAATTTGTATTTTTTTAAAATCCTTTGAACAGTACCATAACTGAAATTAGAGTCCTTGAGAATATCTGCTATTGAATTCTCACGATAAGCTTCAAAATATCCAATAACTGCAATTTTCGTGGCCTCGCTTATTATGAATTCTTTTTTTGCCCTTGTTTTAGCAATAAACATTTTCGTTGCCCCTAAATTTTCGATAAAGTCTCAGAAAATATCGTTCATACGGTTGAATGCGAGCGGGATATAATTCACTGTAGCTTGCTCTCAAGGAGGATTTTCTGCACACTAAATAGCATTCTAACATATCACACTTTTCTTCATGGGAGAACATTTTTCTTTAAATTAATGACACAATAAAGCTTAAAAACAAGTATTTACACTAATGTTTGACATTATTTGATTTTATCATTGTTTTCCAAAGCCTTTTAGTTGCGAGTATGTCCAGTTTAACAATTTGTCGCTTATCTTAATGCTGTCAAATCGCGAACGCCATGTTGTTTTCATAGCCGTCTTAATATTATAATACTGCAAATAATTAAAAATATTTATCGTTATTTTGAATTTATTTTTGACTCTAGCGGAAAAGTCATTATGAACTTTTTTGTTTAAAATTTGATGCTTTAACAGAAAAAAATATAATATACAGGGGTTTCCATTTAAAAAAATGTTATTTTACTGAAAAAAATCAAAATAACGACTCTCAATTGTTTTTTTTTATTTCTCATTTTTACCAGCGTTAAAAATGCTACTAGTTTGCTAATTTAAACAACTTTGTATTTTTACTAATAACAAAGTTACCAATGGTGGACACTTAATTTTTATAACCCTGTATATCACTTGCCTGACATCTACATTATTGGTCCAGTAAAATTTATTTTTGACCTAACTTTGAACTGAGAGCAAGGTTGAAAAACGTTGGTAACAAAGTTTGGGTGCGAAGTTCTGTCTGTTTCTTTGCTGTACTATAATTTGATAGAAAGTACA